CAGCCCCACACTGATCTATAGATTCAGCGTAATCCCAATTAAAATCCTAGCTTTTTATAGACTTTTACTAGAGGCCCAGTGGATAAAATTTGTGCACTCGGTGGGGGGCGGGGGTCCCTTAGCCGGGCCCGCGCCCTCTCACAGTCCAGGAGCCCTTGGGGGATGTCTGACTGACGGCTTAGGCCCGCTCCCCGTCAGTTGGACATCCTTAGTGCTGCCGTGGGGTGGGAGAGGCTTCTGCCACCACCACTTCGCTTGCCAGCTGTGAACCTGGCTTCTGGCTGAGCGGCACTCCCCCTGCGGGAACACACTGACCACGGGGGGCAGCTCCTGCATTGATCATCTGCCCCCTGGTGGTCAGTGCGCGTTATAGGAACTGGTCGTTCTGCCATTCAGTCGATTTGCATATTAGGCTTTTATTATATAGGATAAGCTGATTCTAAAATTTATGCAAGGAAACTAGAAAAGCCAAAATAACTCTGAAGAAGTAGAAAATAAGTATTGCAAAAGGGACTCACACTCCCTTTCAAGACTGACTTGAGCCCGGCTGGTGTGGCTCACTGGTTGAGCGTTGACCTATGAACCAGGAGCTCAGGATTTGATTCTTTTTCTTTTTTTTAAATATATTTTATTGATTTTTTACAGAGAGGAAGGGAGAGAGATAGAGAGTTAGAAACATCGATGAGAGAGAAACATCGATCAGCTGCCTCCTGCACATCTCCCACTGGGGATGTGCCCGCAACCCAGGTACATGCCCTTGACCGGCATCAAACCTGGGACCTTTCAGTCCGCAGGCCGACGCTCTATCCACTGAGCCAAACCGGTTTCGGCAGGATTTGATTCTTGGTCAAGGGCTGTACCTGGGTTGTAGGTTTGATCCTGGCCATCGGAGCATGTGCAGGAGGCAACCAATCAATGTATCTCTCTCTCTTCAATATTTTTCTTTCTCTCCCTCTTCCCTCACTTCCACTCTAAAAATCAATGGAAAAAAAATATCCTTGGGTGAGGACTTAAAATAAAATCTTACAACTAAAGATTCCTGAGGAACTGCTGCGGAGGGAGCCCTTGCTGCTGGCAGGGACCCAGCGTGTGTGCCTGGTTCACCCCGAGGTCAAGGGGGGACCCGGGCCAAGTGGCGGAGGCGAAGGTGCTGGTGCACACGCTGGACAACTGGTCGGTGGTGGAGACGATGGTGGTGCCGACCAAGACGCCCAACATGAAGCTCATCTCTTCGGCACAGGCGCTTGGAGCAGCTGACGGAGAAAATTAGAAGCTTGTTGGAAGCGACAGCTGTCGTTCTGAATGTGGAGAGGATGTCTATGCCCACCAAGAAAGAACTGGAGGCCACCTGGCGCGTGCAGGTGTTCAACCCATACACGGTGGTCCTGCACATCTCCACTGCAACGCCCGGACCAAGGAGGTGCAGCTGCAGGTGGCCCTGGCCGAGCTCCCCCTCCTCAGGTCCGACATGAAGAACGACCTTGCCCACCTGGACGGACTCGCTACCTCATGGGGTCAGGAGAACCTTTCATGCAGGTGCAGCAGCGTCTGATGAAAGAAAAGGAGATGCAAATCCACAAGGCCCTGGAGACTCCGGCAGAAGAGGCAGCTGCTGGGCAGGCAGCACAGGCAGCGGGAGTTCCTGGTGGGGTAGCACCAGCTGTGGGAAGACCACGCTGATCAAGGCTCTGACGGGTGACAGCGCCATGCAGCCCCGGGACCAACTGTTTGCGAAGCCGTACATCACGGCGCACGTGAGCTCCCTGCTGTCCCGCATGACCGTCATCTACACGGACCATTGGCTTCCTGTCCCAGCTGCCCCACAGCCTCATCGAGTCCTCGGCCACCCAGCAAGACGTGGCCCACTCAGACATGATCCGGCACGTGAGGCACGTGAGCCACCCCAAGGCGGAGCTGCAGAAGGCCGGCGTGCTCACTGCCCTGCGCGGCCTGGGCCGCCTGCACTGATGCAGGACTCGGTGCTGGAGGCGCACAATATGGACCTGGTGCCCGGGTACCACCCATCGGGGCTGCGTGCCCTGGCTGTGTCTGCCCTCCAGGCTGGGCCTGGAGGAGCTGAAGGCTGAGCTGGAAGTGGCCATGCTGAGTGCCACAGAGGCGAGTGGTGACCCTCCGTGTGCAGCTGGCGGGGCCACAGCTCAGCTAGCTGCACCGGGAGGCCACGGTGCAGAACGGGCAGGTGGTCCCTGAGACAGGCATGGCCGACGTCACTATCATCAGCAATGCCGCCTGTGGCAGGTTCCGGAAGCTCTTTCCAGAATGATCTGCGGACAGTCCTCACGGCCGGAGACGGTGCAGGTCCCACCTCAGTGTTGTGGCCAGAGGTTGGTGGGCAGATGTCCGGGTTCTGACCCTGCCAGGCGGTGCATCGGGGGGGATGCACTGTGGGGACCAGCCTCCCTCCTGACGGTTTGGCTACAGGACGCTCCCCCTCGGTCCTCGTGTCCGTAAATCAGTCTTTGTCCAAAGGAAACCAGACTAAGAGCCTTGTGTCCAGAGCAAGAAGTCAGTTCTTGCAGCAAAACTGTGCAGCGTTGGCCACTCCAGGTGCCGAGGGCCCCCAGACCGAGGCCTGGACCCCAGACGCGGCTGCAGAACCGACGGCAGAACCGGCCCAGGTCCTTCAGGTCCCGGACACTCACGTGCTCCTCAGAGCCCAGCGAGCTGCGCGCGTTGCTGGGGAGGTGCTCAGGGCAGGGGGTCTCCTTTTCTCTCGCTGGAGCCCGTATGTGGTTCCCCTTAGGCCGTGCTCACCCTTGCACGGCTGTCCCTTACATTGTCCGACGTCACCCGCATCCTGGGATCATAAAGGATAACCTGGACCCTCTCCTGACCAAAAAACAGAAGAAGATTCCTACAAGAAAAAATAACCCGATAAAAATGGGCGAAGACTTGAACAGATGCAGGCAGCACATCCGAAGGAGCTCTGACATCATGTCGCCAGGGAAACGCACCTCTGCACCCTGTACGGCCCAGTGCACCCGCCCCAACGCTCACCGCAGCACCAGGGTTGGCAGAGTGCCCAGCGGGACCCTCGTGCCTGTGTCGCTGGGAAGACGTGGCCTTGGGAAGCTAGACGCACAGCAGCACCGTGGCTGTCACCCCACTTCCAGGCACCCCTCAGCAATGGACATACCGCCCACAAAGACATGCACCGTCCGTCACAGGCAAAACTCGGGAACAAGCAGCACCCGTCACGAGATAAGGAGCAGCGTGTGGTTACTGTGGGCTCACTCAGCAGCGCGCAGGGACCTGACTCACGGCACCGACGGGCTCAGGACTTGCTGGAACTCACACCGGACCCTCAACAGTTGGGGTGGGGTGTGGCCGGTCTGGGGGAGACACGGTGACATTCTGGGGTCTGGGAATGCTGCAGCTGGGCTTGGGGGTTACAAGTCCACATTCATCAAAACTCATTGCATTGGCCGAAACCGGTTTGGCTCGGTGGATAGAGCGTCAGCCTGCGGACTGAAAGGTCCCGGGTTCGATTCCGGTCAAGGGCATGTACCTGGGTTGCGGGCACATCCCCAGTGGGAGATGTGCAGGAGGCAGCTGATCGATGTTTCTCTCTCATCGATGTTTCTAACTCTCTACCTCTCTCCCTTCCTCTCTGTAAAAAATCAATAAAATATTTTTAAAAAAAAACTCATTGCATTGTTTAAAGTCTGTGTTTTCCGTGTATGTGGTCTTTACAATTAAAACCTCGCAGTGAGCTGACGACCAACAGGCTGTGTGAACTCAGATGAGGGTGCCCGGCCGGTGCGGCCACCGCGGGTGCTTCCACACTTGGGTGGCGAGCCCGGCGCCCTGCTCCAGGGTGTGGCCACGCCCACTGCCTGCACACAGGATAACCGCCGTGTGCACCACGCTGCCACTGTGTCCGTGAGGGCTGAGAACTGGCCGAGCCGCTCTGGCGGGATGACCATCCCTGCGGATGCTGGCGGGGGAAGGCCTGCTCTGGGTGCCTGCAGGCTGTGCACCCATCTTTACTCCGAGGAGGGAAGAGGCAAGGGCCAGGCTGGAGGGTGAACGGGGATCCTGCGCACAGCTGCCCTGCTGCCCCGGCGTGGCCAGGCAGCCCCAGGGCAGGCAGGCAGGCA